CTATCTCTACGCGGGGCTGGAATTCGGCGCCGAGTGCTACTGTGGGCACAAGGTCCAGGCGTCGAACGCCAGCGAGTCCGAGTGCAACATGGAGTGCAAGGGGGAGAGGAGCAACACCTGCGGCGGGGGCAATCGCTCCCGCCTGGAGCTGGCCCAGGAGTCCGCCAGGAGATGTAAGTCGGTGGCATCGATGCGGTTCCCGACTCAGCCCCGAAATGGGGGAACCCCTCGTGGTGCCGGCAGGGGCGAGCCCTGGTGTCCCTGTGCTGCAGAAGCCGGGTCTCAGCTCGGGAGAGGTGGTTTGAAAGCGGTTTGGGTCTGCGGCTGGGGTGGTTTTGCTCCTGTGAACTGCAGGGATCCCCCTGCGCGGGGGCTGCTGGCCGGGGCTGGGTGGAGCGGGGAGCCCCAAGGACCTCACCAGGAATTCAGGGCGTTTGGGGGGGACTTTGGCTGAAGACCTCTTTCCTGATGGCCAAACAGGACCGTCACCGTATTCAGTGTGTGCTGCCGCCACAGCTGGCTGTGGGATGAAGGATGTGCAGAGCTCCAGAGAGAGCCAAGGGTGCTCCCCGTCAGAAGCACTCATCTGGCTCCCAATTAAGCAGCGCTATAATTACCCACATTTGCTGCTTTTCTTTCCTCATCCCCAAGCAATGGGAAGGAGGGTGGTGGCGTTCAGAGCTCCCACCACCAGGCACCCGGTGGAGTAGCAGCCCCGGAGGGGGGCTGAGGGTGCCCAGATGCGTGCAGCGGTGGGTGGGGACCTGGGATGGGACCCCTCAGGGCACCGATGCTGAGGGGGGTAGTGGGGGGACCAAGCCAGAACCAGCCCCAAAGTTCCATCTCCTCACGGGTTCCATCCCTCCTGCAGCCTGGGATCACCAAGCTGATAAAAATAGGGAGGAAAAAATAAACCTGACTTTGCTGCCGGGGCTTTTGCTCTGATTTTGCACCATAAGCAGCCGGGCGAGCTCGTTAGCAAACGCGGCTTCACAGCTGGAGGGTGACAAGAGCCGGAGAAAAGCCGCCGCTGTGCTGATGGGCGGCTGGAGAGGAGCCGTGGGGGACGGGGACACCGGGGCGTGCAGAGGCTCTTGCTCCCGATCCTGGGGTGCGCAGGGTGGCAGCGAGGCTCTTGCTCCTGATCCTGGGGTGCGCAGGGTGGCAGCGGCATCATTTTTGGGGTGCAGCTTCTCTCTCTCTCTTGCAGACGGCAGCGCGATATTTCGGGGGTGCTTCCGCCGGCCGGACAACATCTCCATCGCCCTGCCCGTCAGCCAGCTCATGCTGAACATGTCAGTGGACAAGTGTGTGGACTTCTGCACCGAGAAGGTACCGGGGGGTCAGGAGAGGGGTGCAGGTCGAAAGCTTAATCATCTAAATCTTCATCATCAGAAGGGGTCACACTGGGTCAATTTTAATCTGATTTATTATAATAATTACATATATCCAAACTACAGAGGAGCATATTGACTGTGTCTCTGCTGCGGGCAGGGTCTGGACCGCAGCTCCCTGCAGGGGAAGCACCCGCTGACTGCCCTGCCTCCTCCACACGGCTTTCGACCCA